GGGAAGGGAAGGGAAGGAAGAAGTTGGCTGCTATCAGGGCATTTTAAGGAAATGTAACCTTTCAGATATAATGGCATTCCTTAAAGCATGAGAAGTCCTATGAGAATTTTGATGGTCAATAATGAATTGGTACATGATGCACAAATCAGTTGTTTAGGATGGTCACAGGAAGTACATGGCTGTTGCTTCATTTCTGCATAACTTTCAAATTCAGAATAAGGGAAATCTTTTCCTTCACTGTTGAACTGAGTGCATGTGTAGTGCTTTTCCACTGGTTCTCTTTCCTGCACTGGATGCAGCTTGCATCTGTTGCATACAGAGGAGATGTAATCCTTTAATTCTGAATAAGAAGAGCAAAACGACTCAGTAGCAGACCCTGTGGGAATATATATTCCTACAGAGTGCAGTACCTGGTTATCCTAAGCCTGTTTGGGTTTTTCTTTCTTTACTTGCCTAATTTGCTTCCTATTTAGGAAAGATTCCAGGATCTGCAGTGCTGGTCTTTGATATCCACGTGGTTGACTTCCACAACCCCTCAGATTCGGTCAGCATTACTGTTAACTACAAACCTTCCAACTGTACCATACTGAGTAAGAAGGGAGATTACTTGAAGTATCACTACAACGCTTCGTTGCTGGATGGTACTTTGCTAGACTCGACGTAAGTAGATTGCTTGGTAAAGAAAATGTCCCTAGCAGCTGTGAAAGCAGAATGAATTGCCTGCAGAGTGGGCTGGCAGGGAATAAAGAATTTTTAAGTGACTAATTGACTATTTATGTAGAGTGTATTTTTCTGCCTGCCTGCCTAAGATATATTAGGAGGAGGAAAAGAGAATCTGTTGTAGCGTAATGAGAGAACTGGGAACAAAGAGGATGTAGGACTGTGTTGGAGAAGAACATAAACGCTACAGGTGGAGTGATGACACAGGTTGTCTGCATGGCAGCCTGTTTAAATGGGCTCAGTCAGGAGTCTGGGCCAGTCATACTACAACGACACAGAGGTCTGTGTGAACAAACTGTCCAAGTGTGTTCAGTTTCTTGGGTAGGATTTGCACTCTGCACTGATTCCGTGCTCCTGAGGGACATCTGGTAGAGGTACTCGGTGTAGTCTTGTTACAGCTAGCTTGATTTTTAGTAAATAGTGTTTTATAGTAAATGGTCACTGTCATGTCTGTACTGCACACAGGTGTGAGTTTTCCTGTGTTGTAGTGGTGCCATAAGGGTCAGCATGGAGAAACTATCAGAGGGCTTGATGGTGACTGTGACTGCAGTGTTGCTCTTGCTCCTTCCTGTTGACAGCAGGTTTATGAAGGAAGCAGAGATTGCTCCAGTCTGTCTCACAGAGCGCTAAAGCAAGCCCATCGCACTCTTTGCTGCAGCTACAAGAATACTTCTGCTAGCTTATCTTCTGCCTTCATAGCGCAAGTCATCTAAATAATATTTCTTTTTTTTGGAAGGGAAGTTGGGAAAAGCTATTCTTAAACAGGTTATAATTAACATAGGAAGCAGCTCGTAGTTTTCACAGTGTACACAATAGCTTGCAGAGCTGAAAAGCTGGCTTACGTTGAAGCGCGTGATGTGATGCTGTAGGCAAGTATGTATGCAAGTAACGTGTTTGGATCAAAACACCTTTTATATGGCAGGGATGCTGAATTCCCATTTTTGTAGCAGGAACCAAGGGATGTCAAGACTGTCTTATTCAAAGCATTTTATAGAGAATCAAAGATCATGAGTCTTGTTCTCCTAATTTGAAGGCAGACCTCCTAGCCACTCAGTTGTTTTTCCAAATAATACTCTTTTGTACAAGCATGTCATGCAGTGGTACAGACAAGCCAAATAACCAAAGGAAGGAGACCAACAGAAGAAAGGGTCCTGCTGTTGTGACACACACTGAATAAAAAGTCTTAACACTGCATGCTCTACTTTTAGAATCATCACACACGTTGAACTTCTGGGGTTTTCACTCGTGATAATTTCTAATTTTAGAAATGAGCCACCAGCAGCAAGGTATAATTCAAAATACAATATGGTTAAATAACAGTAGTAGTAGTATACGTGCAGGCTGTCTTGGTTAAGTGACTACTACATTATATTGACTGATTTTATTAAAGGGATAGCTGATCCATGTGAACGCACCCAGGTCCCGATAGGTTGGTAGTTCTGGGACAAATGCACATCTGGAATTTTTACATCTGCTAAAACGTCTTGCTTCATTAGTTAAAAATATGTGAAAGGCAAAAGCCCTTATTTTGAGATAAAATACTTTGGGGGTTTAATTGGCAGGATTAATGATTTTAATTGGATTTTGTTCAAGAAGCCTATAATTTTAGTACCAGACGACTTGTCAATAGTAGGGACACTTCTGTTTGGCATTGGCTGGCACTTGCTACCTTGAGAACATGTTCAGGTAACTGCTTGGTAGAACAGAGCTTTAGGCATGAAGTAAATTTTTGGCAATGACAGGACACTAACTAGAAACTGCTGTTTCTCTGGTAATTTTGAACAGCAGAAATTCTCTATTGTGTGTTTAGAGCTTTTTTTTGTTGTTTTTCTCTCCCCGCCCCCTCCAGACACAGCCTTGGCAAGACCTACAACATAGTCCTGGGATCAGGACAGGTAGTGGTGGGGATGGACATGGGCCTTCAAGACATGTGTGTTGGTGAACGCCGAACGGTCGTTATTCCACCTCATCTTGGTTATGGAGAAGATGGAGTCGGTAAGTGAGTGAAACCTATTGCACATCCACTTAGCATCTCTCGAGTAACTGAAACACAAGTATGCGTGTTTTGTTACTTGCTTTGCACAAGGGCATAAGGTGAGTGTCTCTTACCTGCTTGAATGGGATTTTTTTAGATGTTTTTCATTTCATTATTTTAGACAGCCCCCTCGTTCCCCAGTGAAATGAATATCCTGTGTTGTGTGTTAAGCCATACTGCTACTGTGGCCAATAGAAAGACCATGCCGTTACAAAAGGGAACACACGCCCCCAGTAATGTCGCTTTGTCAAAATGGAAAGCTCCAGGCACTCTGATGTTACAGAGGGATGTAAACAGTGTTCTCCGTGATAGGGAGTTGGGCACTCATGCTTGGACATGCGACGTGTTATTCAGGGAACAAACCTGGAAGGGACTGTTAAGCACTAATGTGTTAGAAAATGCAAAGAACCCTTAGAACTCAGAAACAACATAAACTGAATGCAACATAAACTGAATGCAACATAAACTGAATGGTTGATTGAAACCCCAACACCAATACATTTAAGGCCAGAGCGTTGAGGCTTACAAGTCTTTAATGGCAGGGACAACAACAGTAAAAAGAACAATACAGAAGTGACAACTCTTGTCGCCCTGTATGTGTGGTTCTTACTGGTCCTCTGAGTTAAGACACGAGGGAAAGGAATCTTATCGGGAGGTCACCAAGATCGACACACTCTGATATGTGTGTAAACAGTTGCATAAGTTGCTATGTTCTTTGAATAGCTTCAGAACAGTTTGTGTTTTATAAAGACTGTCAGGTATCATGTGCCAAGCTTAGTGGAGAACTAATTTGTGATAAGAGATAAAGAAGCATTATCACTCATACCTGTCTTCCATGAAAAATTATGAGTATTATATATGCAATACTCTATGCTATTATAAAATCATATATATAATAAATTGAAAATTTCCTCATAACATAAAACGTCTGCTGTGTTAAAAAAAAAGTTACAAACATTCTTATCATAGGCATTTGCCCTCATTCAAATTGCATTCGATATACATGGTCTGAAACATTGCATGGTGTCAGTGTTGTGGTATATACCTGGATATCTGAAGAGACTGCTCCTTTGCTACTGGACAGAAGTTAGAGGTGACCTCAGTTTTCTTTTCCAAGAGTAAATTAAACTCCTCCCATGGTTTCATTGAGGTAACATCCCAAGCTGTTGCAACACTATTGAGTCTGTCAGTACCACCTTGACACAGTGTATCAGCGAGATAAAGGAAAAATTATTAATTTCTGCAGGTTTATCTTTATAAGCAATAAAAATGGATGCAGTTTTATTCTGAAAGCTTCCTTTATGCTTTGATCACCTCTGCTAAAGTGAACAGGAAAATGTGGTGGGCTTGGGATCACGGAGCTGGGGATCACAGTAGAGAAGCGCCTGTTGGAGCAGGAAGAGAAATTTAATTATGGACTAAAAGGAAATTTACTCTTCAGTGTAAGTGAGGATAAATACCCCTCTTTGCCATTTGTTGTGACAGAAGGAGAAGTGCCTGGTAGTGCTGTACTAGTTTTCGACATCGAACTGCTGGAACTGGTGTCTGGCTTGCCTGAAGGGTACATGTTTGTATGGAATGGGGAAGTCTCTCCCAATCTTTTTGAAGAAATAGACCAGAATCATGATGGAGAGGTTCTTTTGGAGGAGGTAAGCTGAAAATGAAAATGCTTGCAGTGGTTTTCTCATACCACCATCAATGCAGATGTTGAAGAATGGGGTCTCTCCTCTCCTCTTCTCCTCCTGTTCTCCTTCTGACATGATGTTTGTGGTCAAGTTAACAGGAAGGCAGCGTGTCAGTTAAAACATTTAGCTTTAGAGGTAGAACCAAGAAGAAAAGAGTGGCCAAAAAAGAAAACAAGAATGGCCGTACTACTTAAGATCATTTACTGTTGTGGTCTCGTTGGTCAACAACAGGTGCTTAGGGCAGGAGTGTAAGAGGCAGAGTGAGTATTCAGCGATCCTTCACTGTAGCAGCCACGACAGTGGCTGTTAATTGGAGATCTATGATGAATTCTTGAGCCAAAGCTGAGCCTGCAGCTGCACATCCAGGAACTGTCTCATCACTTCTGGAGCCTGGCGATGCCTGTGGCTGCTCCTTCCGTGGGTGAATTGTGTGAACAAGCCTCCTTCCCCGTGAGTGCTTTAACATCGGTGGTGTGAGAATGTCATTGGTGCTCTAATTGAACTCCGCTTGCCTTTGCCGCGCCATCTCCAATAATATAAACCTCCGTGAGGTTTTCTGCATTTTCTCTTAACTGAAGAGTTCTATTTTTTTATTCCCTTCTTCAGTCATCTTTGTCGCCTCTGTTGTTCTGTTTTCTGTCCTTGCTTGTTGGAGTAGTGCTGCCTGCAGCTCTCAGGTTGCAGGCTGTGGACCTATGGAACAGCATGAGATGCTTTCCAGCATTTTAACAAGCCAATGGGGTAAAATCAAAATCTTGTTTTCCCTCTTCCTTGCACTCTCTTCCACCTGTTTATTTTCCTTATTTCTCCATCTTCTCTCTTGTGTTTATCTCCACTTCTGTCCTTGCAGAGAAGAAAAGAGTTTTGATCAGTTTAGAGAATGAGGTGGGATGTGACTGTTGATAGCCACATCCTTCTCGTCACCTAGCAAGGAGGAGAAGGAGAAGCCAAGGAGATATGAGAGGATGCTTGGCTTAAAAGGTGTAAGTGAATGTCAGCAGCAGCTCTCATTGCTGAAGCTTATTTAGCGGGTAGCGCCAGAGGTAACAGAATTGGAAAAATTGTGTTTGATTGTGGACTTTCTGGTTTCGGCAAGTCAGCAGTATGACTTCTGTCAGTTGCTGTCTAATCACCATGAACAACTTCATCATATATAGAAGGAAAAGGATTTTTAGGGAAAACTAACCTTATAATCTTGCAACCTTCTCCACCATGGAGTCGAGTGGAAGGTGTAATGCCTGAAGCTACTTCAATAAATCTCATGGTATCCTGATACTTAAAGTCTCTTTTCTGTGTTTCATTCTTTGTTCTTGTGTATTGTAAGACGCAGGTGGATGTCTGTTTTACAGTGCGGGCTGCTTGTATCGGCATGTGAATCCATGTAGATCTATTCCTATGTCACCCTCTATTCAACTCTTCTTTCCCCTAAATTACGAAAAAGAACTTTCCTTGTTGTGGGTCCAGGACCCACTGGAGTAAGTGAGGAAATCCCTGTTGAGCTCCACAAAGAGTGACTTAACCTCATGTGTCTGTCCTGATTAGTCCAGTTTGCGTTGTAAACTTTATAGGATAGTAACAGTGTACTTTTATGTACACTTAAGCAGTAAAATGCTAAATAGTCAACAACAAATAAATGCTACTTTTGTAAATACTCTTCAGTTTTAAATGGCTGTTTCACTGTGAGCTGTTTTCTCCTCCTTTCTCTCCACCTAGTTTTCAGACTACATTCAAGCTCAAGTTGATTCCGGCAAAGGAAAACTAGCTCCTGGTTTTGATTTTGAAAAGATTGTTAAAAATATGTTCACCAATCAAGACAGGGATGGAAATGGTAAAGTTACCGCTGAAGAGTTCAAGTTGAAAGACCAGGAGGCCAAAGAGGAACACGATGAACTGTAAAGCTAAGAAAAAAAGAAGAGTCCTGAGCTGACCTACTGTTTGAACGTGTGTACTGGAAGAGGTTTCGGCAAGCATTTCTGACAGGTTAGCGCGTGGCTAGCTAGCCTGTGTCTGCCTGTGCCTGCGCGCTGCTAGGCTGTTAAAATAGGAAGAGATTTTCAGTTTGGAATTGTTAGGTATATTTGGAAAAAAAAAAAAGTGTTAAGTGCCTCAAGATGAGATGTATAAACGGATAAGGAGTGTACTGCTGTACGTGGTGGCAGGACCCACACGGTCTGTTTTTATGCTAAAGATTAGAAGTTGTCATTGAACCATACAGTCACTTGGATGGAAGGTAGGGAGAAAACTTACCTTTTTAAAAGAGTTGTAAAAAACCTTCTGTATCCAAAGTATTTCTGCAGGAGAACAAACCAGAAAATATTGCCCATGAAAATAACTTGTAAAAATCATCAGACACTGGGCCCAATTCCTTTCAGAAGGCACGAGCACTCTTTCTAGTAACTGAACAAACTCTTACGAATATTTGCCAGCAGGAGCTCCGATCTGCAAATTGCAGAACATGCAATTAACTATGCCGTTGCAAAATGTCCATAAGCTGTGAATTAAATGAAACAGGCCTAGAATTGTAACCGTGTACGTCTCGGGTTTTTACCTTACGAAATAAGTTTGCTGCCGTCTGTGTTGTATTTAATTAATAACCCTGACTCTTCTTGCTGGCCTGTTGAAACAGTGTTCTGATCAGTGATTCCCAAACCTTTCTAGTTGTAACCTTATTTATAGGTTTGTTAGACTTTAAATATTAGTATTATGGGGTCCAAATACTGTCATAAATACTGGATACAATTGATTTTGTGTTGGGCTTCTGCCTCCTATTTTGGGAATTGTTAGACTAAGGAGTAAGTACTTGGAGCTTATGCAGCAGAGCAGCCTGGCACGGCGAACAAACAAAAAGACAGTGATAGAATCAAGAAACAGACCCATCTGTTTATGCCTGCAAATGTTCCGGCCTATCCCTCAATAAGAAATCAGCTCTGGGAGTGCTGTTTAGATTATGTGAACTCTGGAGACAATCACCCATTTGATCTATAAACGTAGCAAGCTGTTTAATAAAAAATACACTCAACAGACACGTTTCGCTGGAAGGCTGTATCATCCCCCTTCAGTACACTACATGTAAAGAGCACAAAGACGTATAGTGTGACACTGTCAAAGACAAGTAGAAAGGGAGTTGTGTTCCCGTTATACGCTTTGTGTCTAGTGTCTTGCTTTTCTTGATCTGTCCATGTGGGTTTTAAGCTCCCTGAGATGCTCTTTTTAAAAACTGGTATTTCAATTGGATGCAAACATTTTGTGTTGGTTTTTAATACAGTTCTAGAAAATGCAGTGAAATATTTTTTTGAGTTTGATACCATTAAATGTTGGATAACTGATCTTTTTGCTAAATAAAGTGTTGATCAACTATTACTGTTAAAGTTTCTTTTTTTTTCTGGCATTCTGATGGGTGGGGAATCTGAGTAGAAGCAAATACCCTTCGTGCAGCACCTTTCTTGTGCACGTAGCAGGCTTTTCCCGAGTATGTTCAATGTAGCTCTTGGTCTTTAGGAAAAATATTTAAAACTAAGATTATTTGATTCAAAATGATTGAAAATAATAAACCACAATAAAAGATTTTTAGTACTTCACACAGGTGAAATGAAGTCATTCTTTGGCCTTAGAAGACGTTCCCGAAGTGACCCATCCCGTGCTGCCATCAGCTGTGACAGTTGGGAGCGTGACGGTTCTCTCAGCTGGGAACTTCCAAGTCCCTCACTGAATGAAATCATTTTAGGTAAGAAACAACATTTCATTCCCCAGGCTAGCGAAAGCAAACTCACGGGGCTTTGTAGCTGAGGTTTGATGTTTTCACTTCATCTCTAGCTCCAAAACCGCACCTATTGCATGTAAAATGCTGGAAGCCTGTTCTGGGGTTGATGATGTAAATACTGCGGGTGTCAGCGGATGCCACTTGCAATCCAAATGTGTACGGCCTGAGTGGCTCCTTGGAAGCGTTGCCGTCTTCCGAGAGCCGCTTTCTCAGAAGGCTGTTGCACAAAATTTTCCCCTTTCTTTTATTTGGAAGTAGGTAGCTCGCTTGTCCCTGCGGTTCAAATGCGTTGCTTCCGCGTGCTTGTGGAGCGGAGATAAGGAGCTGGACGCAAGTTGTGACTGAGTGCTGCCAGAAGCGTCCCCAGCATGGAAACAACTCCTTACACTGTTCTTGTGCGTACCCCAAAACCCAAGTGTGTCTTCTGAATATCCAGGATTGCTTTATCTGAGAAAATCTTAGTGAATAGGTCTTTCTGCATGGAGGATCGATCGTTCTAGATTCTAATCCCGAAGTAATCCTGAAGATTGCTATACTGGATTTTTTTGGAAGAGCACATCAGTGATGGAATAGCGGGTGTGACTTTACCCGTGCCTCTGGCTAGGGTAAGTACGTCTGAAATTCTCATTCTGTTGCCCCCGAGGCCTTAGCAAACATGGCTTGTGATCTACCTAAATGACATCCTTCTGTCAGGGGGAAGTTTTTGTTGCTGCCTCAGCTCATTCCCCCCAAGTCTGGAGGCTGCCATTTTGGAAATGAGAATGCAGTGTTGGGGGAAAGCAGAGAATAAATGGGGAAACTTGCTGCAAAATAATTATATTGACACTGAGCATTTGCTTGCCAGGACTGCTTGGCCGCATTAGGTTAAAAACTAAAATCCAGAATGTTGGGTTACTTACGTAGACCCTGTCAGTTCTTTTCCTTTCTGTGGGCAGCTATCGGCCCCTACCTCAAAGGCAAGCTTAGGGCCGCCCTCCTTCTCAGCAAAGGGTTATACTTTGGCTGAACTCCTCTACCCGTTGCCGCTCCCGGTGCGTGGCCCCCCTTTAAAAGTGAGGGCAGTCTGCCTGGCAGTTAACCAAGCCAGGGCCTGGGGAAGCTGGCTGGGAAAGGCAGATGGTGCTGGTGTGGACTGGGGGAGCTCAGCACAGCCCCTGTGCCTCCAGCGAGAAGTAAGTCCCTCTACATCACCGTCCTGTTGGAGAGGGTCGCCTGTGGTGGGTATAGGTAGAAGGGAAATATTTCTCTACCTCAAAGTGTAAGATATTTTTTTTTTTTAAGGCAGAAAGTATTTATTTAGGTACTAACATACCTAACTGAGATAACTTATTTAGAAAAATAGATGATAACTCTTCAGGGGTCATTAACAGCCAGATGAAAATGGAGGGTTTAGCTAACGAGAGGCTCTCCAGAAACCGCACTGCTGCTGCTGCTCCTCCAGTGAAACGGCCAGGTGCTGCTCTCCTCAGAGCTGGGCAGCTGACTCCCGTTAGGCAGCTGGCTGAGGACAGGAAGCTGCCTGCAGTCAAGCTTGGCAATTACCTGCTGGATTGTAAGAGGCTTGGTGGAGAAGGAATACGGCTCTATACCCAGAAAAATCCAAGTATTTATAAATTTTTTTTGCATGATTTTTGTGCCCTAATTTGACAGCGATGCTTTCTGCTGTATAACTCTGCATGTGCCAAATATATTCAGAAATTATGCTTAATTCAGAGTTTGCAGTTGTTGAACTCAAATATATCTTTTTCTGTGTGAAAAAATATTCAGGTTTTCCTTTAAGCTTAAAAATAATATCTTTAGCTAGTACTTAGTGCAAGCTTTCAGCTCGGTTCAGGACTATTAGCATGTGTTTGACAGTAAGAGGACATTTGAGCTGGCTGCAACACCCACTCGGAAGGAGGAAACATTTTTAGCTAAGTAAAGGTCCCAAATATTTGACCTTGGGCGTGTGCTACAGACAGAACAGATATTGTGAGTAGAGGAGGGGGGGGAAAAAGTAACAAATTCACTTAACTTTGCTGCTTATTCTTTGCTTTTAATATCAAAAATATGCTTTTGGCTATGGGAAAATTATCTAGGAAATGTATGATACCTTTCTTTCCAAACTGAATCATAAATGAAATACGCTTTTAGGGTTGCAAAATGTTTCTGGTTAGAATTTTGATTTAGAAAGACATACTGTGAATAGTATCTCTTTCCTAAACCCGAATGCAGAATCTGGATAGCAGTTACGGGAATTAGACTTGCTGGAGAAGGATGATTTAACCTGTAGCCACGGTGTTAATTTTGTTTGCCATTAATTTTTTGCGTGGTTTTGGAGAGGTGACTGATAGTATCTGTTCTTATTTCTACCAACAGAGCAGTGACAAAATGGGATTTTGAAAACGTGGATAGTTTTTTTAGATAAAAATGCATCTTGTGCTTTCCCTTAACTACTGTGTAAGCCAGAATTACGGATGTGAGACGATGAAAGGTTATTGATAATCTGTTCAGCACTACGTACAGAACCTCCTGGTTCAGGTTGATCATGTAAGTAACTGGTTTTGGTAGAAAGTGATACATGGGGCATTTCAAGAAGTAAATTATTTGGTGCGCAGATACCCTTTGTGCGGGAAACGGTTTCTGTCAGATGACTGCAACGTGGCTTAGTTGCCCTTATGTCCTAGCAAAGGCTCGCTGCTCTGGCAGACCCATAACACAGAATCTGAGGCTGACAGGATTTCATGGGGAATGCATGCTGGAGACATTAACTTCCCTGCCTCCTTGTGGAGGGGCAAGAATCCTTTTCTTGAAGTGATGGTCATTGTGGACCGAACATTCGGTGACTGGCAATTCATTGTCCATCTGCTTGGAGGCGAGATTGGAAAATCTTCCTTATAAAATGCTTGAGAGATGGTTCATCTGAAATCCTCTACCAAGGCAAAGACTTTTAAGTGTCCAAGTAGTTGGGAAACCATCAAGTGATCGCTTCTGACACTGCTCGGGCTCTGGGCAGGCTGAATACTAATTTCAGTAACTTGGATTAAGATGTAGTTAGGGATCTGTTTTGGTAACTGCTTTTGATTATTTCCATATTGCTCTGTGTGGGCTTTTCTATATGGATTTAGTTGTGGGGTTTTTGTTTTTTTAAATTGTGGGTGAGTTGATCAATGAGATCCTCATCGTGCTGAAGGAGTGATGGCTTGTTTCCTGTACGGTTGGGTGAGGCTGGGGAAAAATTATGGGGATCAATGAGTTTATGTGAAATCCTGAGGCAAGTTGGATGAGAACATGGGGCAGTCCTGCCTCTCAGAAACATTACACAGAGAGACCAGAACTGCCCCCAGATTTTCACTGATGCTGGGATGGCCAGGGAAAAGACTTTTACCTTTTGGACTTTTATTTGGCATCTATGACAAAAGAGCCAGCATCATTGCTTGTTTAAAAAACCCAAAACAAGAAGAATCACCAACTCTTCTCCCCCTAAAACCTTGACATTAGGTCAGCTCATGTAAATTCTGTAGATGCCTAAAACCCAAAACATAGACCGTTAAAAGAAATTGTGTCTGCTTACTGCTCCTGGAAACACTGCAGCATTCCCTCAGAGCCTTGCCATGCCCCGGGGAGGCACAGAACGCGCTGCTGAGCAGGCAGCTCACACTGCTGTCCTGCAGGGAGTCACATCTAACATCACCCTGCTTACCTCGCCAGCGGTGCCGAAACCGTAGTGCTGGCAGGAGGTGACTGTGCAGGCGGCTGCTCCCTCCCTTATGGGTGTGCAGTGCAACCATCCTGCCTTCGTCCCCGGCCCAGGCAAACGGGGGGCAGGGAGAGAGGCTGCAGAGAGGAAAGGGAGAAAGTGCCCACCTTGTGCATTGGGGAACATCCTTCCTGCCCCTCCTGGCTGGGTGTTTGGGGCACCTGTCCTGTCCTGCTATGGTTGGCATGTTCTAATACGCTTCCTCCTGCTCTTCTATGATGACTCGTAGGAAGCTGCTCTGCCCCTGGTTGCTCCAAGGGGATGTGCTACCCCCCCAACCCACTGCCCCTGCCTGCGACTCCTTCTGCCCCAGTCAGCTCCCAGAGCTGCAGCATCTCCCCTGCTCAGCCCCGCTGCCACAGGTCCTCACCTTCAGCCCGTTCTCTGCAGCGTCTCCCACTCAGCCAGTCAGACATCAACTGCAGGACGCACTGCCGCTGGGCGCTTGGTTTTGCGAGCGTGTGCATGCATGCGAGAGAGAGTAGGCAGCAGCTCTCTCGATGTCACTGACTCAGCAGCTGTCACTACGGCTTTTGGGATCTCCCTGTCTTCTGGTGTTGGCTGACAGGCTCCTGGCAGGCCGGGGCTGAGGCAGCTGCCGCTCCCGGCTCCTCCTGTCCCCGGCACCCTGCCGCTCCCGTCTCCTCCTGTCACTGGCACCACCAGGGCACTTTCAGCTCTTCCAGTCTGCTGCTGCCTGAGTCGTATCTCTCAAATGGATGGCAGCCAAGACGCTATCCTCTCCTTGGTCATCTTACGGTTTAAGTGGTTTTTCTGCTCAAACGGATGGCTTCTAAAGTTCCCACTTCTGGGGAATCTAGCTGCTTGTGCCAGGTGGAGGGAATTACATGAGCATAGATTGTGTAGAAGAAGGACATCATTCCTCACAGTCTTTGCCTGTTAAGATGCAGGCTGGAATTTCTGAAAGGTCCCTGCCCAGCAGGTCCCTGCTGGCATACCACATGCAATGCGATTTTTGAAAGGACGCACACACCACTTCAGCTGGTCCATCAAGCCTCTGCCATGCTTTCAAAATATGGGGCTGATTTAATTTCAGTTTGCTGCAGAGGATGCAGAGGTGGGGTAAGGAAACTACCCCCTGTCTTGCCTTCTTGGAAAAGTTCCAGTAGGTGTGGTAACAGATGCAAGCCTGCTGATTTTGAAAAAAATATGACTGCTGCTACCAAGAATTTAGATAGTGGACCACAGGTTGGGCAGGAAAGAGGCCATTTCTTGAGTTGTGTATTACTTGCTGGTGGGAGAAAATGCAGATCTAGGCTCCCTGTATTTCATTGCAATTCCTCAGGGGCTGGAAGCTGGCACAGCTCCTGCTGTGTATAAAAGAAAGCAAAGGGGGACGACTATATTGCATGTTAAGGAAGTGGTATGATTGCCTCTATTTTATTAATGAATAGTTAAGTACAGCTGAGGCCTCTTAGGACCAGGGTCACACCACCATCTTTAACTTCTGCATCATATCAGAGTAAGCTTCCAAAGCTGCGGCTACATTCAGCTATACCATTATGTACATGATGCTGAGGGGTACCGCAATGTCTTCAGTATAGAAGACATACTTTCTGAAGATTCAGTAGGTGTTTCAACAGAGAGGACGTGCATAACAAAGGTGGAAGAGCTAGATGCTATACTGATACTTGTGTTTACAATTTGGGGAGAGTGGGAAAGTGACCTAAAGCCAGTTCTGGAGAGGTGATCTCCAAGTGCTTCTGAGCACTTACGCCAGGCTGGTAGCCATCTTGCAAAATCAAGTTTTCTTGCTAAGTCAGCTTTTAAAATCCAAGATTAATATCTAGCTTTACTTGGATTTTCTGTACCTGGAGCAGCTCACTGAGAATTCCAAGAGAAATTATTTTAGGCGAGTCATGCTAGCTTTGATGTGAAACAGCAGGCTAGAAGTGGAGTAGTACACAAAATAAGATCTGAAAAGGGGCTGAAATTTTGGCTGTGTACTATTAGCTTGTGTAACTGTCTGTGGTTACAAAGATGAGAAACTTTACCTCAGATATATTAACTTAAAACATGCTTCCCATTCCACAGAGGATAAAGAAACAGTAAGAATATTTTGTACTGATACAAAAATCTATAAAGAAGAAACACTTTGCCTGAATTGGGTGAATAAAGCATTTTTACTGAAGAAAAATGTATGTATGAAAAACTTTGTGAAAGTCTGTAGCATATGAGTAAGATCCTTCAAAGTACAGCTGAGACTGAAATATCTTCTTTGAAAGAAGAAAAGGCAACACAAATGTGCACGCTGCTTATTCACAGAACATTTACATCTTCAATTTTACAAAATAGCCACATTTTCTAAAATGCTCCTCTGAAATGCCTGATTAAAAGACAGTGAACCATAGTATCCCATCAGCAGCAGTTTCACATCTATAAATGCAATTCAAATCTAGTTGTAATAGGAGTGTGAGACAATAAAGAATAGCCTAAGAGCAGTAAGAGGAGCTTCTAGTTGACAATGGATACCATATATATTTCAAAATACCAAAATGAAGATAAAAGTCTTAAATTAAATTAAACAGTTCTGTAAATGAGTAATAAACACATCTAAGCACACGTGTGCTCTTCTGTCCAGTTGCCTCCTGGAAGGAATGGAGTGACTTGAGACTGCAATTTACAGGATTTTCTGTAGGATGGAGTTGGCAACTTCCAGGGATTCATCTTTCACCAAGACAATATCATAAGAGTCCATATATTTTTCCAAAAGCTCATCTACCTAATTGCAGAAAGGATAAAGAGAAAGACCCACTTAGTTTTAGAATTAATTATCAAAAGACTTTTTGTCATTAAAATATTGTCCAGTCTTTCCACCAAATGCAGGGAATGAGCCATGCAAATATGTATCGCTCCTATGAGTGAACTCCACAGGATGACAGAGTAGGAGTAGCCTGACATAACTGTGTGAGCATTCCAGGATATAATATATATACACACACACCACACCTCACATTTATTCCAGGATCTTGCACATAAAGGAAAGAAAAACTACTTAGCTTCCCGAAAGGCAGAAAGAAATAGAAAACTATAGAGTTCTCTCTCTCCTGAATGCAAACGGGTGTACATTATAACTTAGCAAACAATCAGTTCTGTGTTTCCTCACCAAAAAAAAAAAAAAAAAGAGACATTGCCTAAATTTGTTATTTAGAAGACTATAGTTTTGCTCAATCATCAATCCAGTATTGAAAGGAGTGGGAGGAGCCACAGGAATTTAAAAGAATTAATTTCTCTAGCCTCTGAATTTTACTTCTCAGGAAAATACCTTTTCAGAAGTAGTTCAGTACAAAACCCAAAGCAATTTATATTTGTGTTTTTGTAGCAGCTTATTGGTTAGAAAAAAACTCGAGGTAAGAAATCCATGGAAAACGTTTGAAATCCCCCCAAAAATATGGGCCAAGCAGTTTGAGATCTGAAGCTTATTATAATGAACTTGTTTCTAACTTACAGTATTTCACTCAAAGTTCAAAAGTTTCTAAGGCCACTTACTTTATCATTGAGATAGCCGATCTTAAGAATGTGTTCAACATTTGCTACTCCATCTGCCATACTCAAGTCTCCTTGGGAATCACCCAGCAGTATGATATTACTGTTGTCTTTTAGTTGTTTGAAGTACTCTGTATTCTTCAAGGCACCATCATGTTTGTTGTAAACATGAATCAATTCTCCTTTAAATCCTTTTAATATTCCCTATTAAAAAAACCCCACTGAAGTTACTTCTAGTATCATATAGACAAGAAGAATCTAGAATGAAATAGGTGCTATTACTCTTGAACTAACATTGAACTATGTAATCTCTAATAATGAACAAGATAAATTACTGTTAAATAACATAATTACTGTAATAGCATTAAGACTAGACAGACAGCGATTCTCCCTCCTTGGAGGAGGAGGAGCAGCAGCAGTGCTGCGTGTGAGGTTGTCATTGAAGGAAATGAATGGTATCTTAGTCACAGCACGCTAACAGTGTTTGAACCGTTATCCTCTGCTTATTTTTTGCCTGGGGGAGTGCTGAGTATGCAATTCTAATTTTGTATGTGGCAGGGTAGATGGCTACATCTGTTCCATTAAAATGTTCATCTTGGCGTATACATAAATAGCTACTAAATACACAAACGGTCATGTTTGAGAAGAATGTGTTATTTCATACATACATTTTCATCAAAATCCATGAAATTGGAAACCACTTTGACATTAGAATGGTAAACCCCAGCCTGGTGGATAACTTCTTCAAGAATGTCCCCAATCCCAGCAGAAAATATGAACACAGGAATATTATGTTCACTGAGCTTATCAAAGAAGTTCTCATATCCTTCTCTGTAACAGAGAATGTAAATACAAATCAAATCTCAAATAAAGCAAGCCAAGAAAAGTCAGCCTTTTCTGGACATTCAAATCATCTTTGGAAAAGAAAATTAATTTCCCTGAGCATTTAGCTTTATTTCCTTTGCCTGACCTTTTCAGGTTAACAAGAACCATCAACCTAATGCATGGCACATAGTTTTAGCAAGAAACTCTTGCATCAAGCTGTTTGGTCTTGATCTGTATAATACCCCCTCCTCTCCCAAATATCTAATCAATCATGTTTTAAAGACTTAAGAACAGTTCCTCTTCCTCAAACACACCAGAAAAAACAAGCAACTAGTAGAACTCTCTCTAGCTACTATCAGGCTGTACATTTCCTTTCTATCTTTCTTGCTTAAATATTTGACTTTCTGTAGGGTTATTACCATAAACCAAATTTTGTTTTGTTTTGAAATCCTGAAAACACTTATTGTCGCTCTTTCCTGAAAGCTTTTTAGTTTTCAGTACCCAATCAAAACTATGTATAGCATTCCAGAAACAATATAATATTATCTCTATATACCTTCTCCATACAGACATTGATTGGTAGAATTTTACATTTTAAAAAAAATTATGAAAATTTTTGAGGGAATGTTAGCCTGTGAATGAAGATTCAATCCACATGGACTTAGATTTTTAACAGGCAGAGATGGTGTGCTTGTCTGTTTTGCAAAACAAGAATTTAGTCAGTATGATAAACAAACACGTCCACGAATTGTCTTAATATCTTGTTTCAGTAGTCCAAAATTTACAGACAGTTTTGGAGAACTTTAACAGAGATGGAGAGATGGGAGCCATAGCACATTTCAAGCAAGGATTTTGCTGACTTTTAAACTTGCCTTTAGCCATAAAGGAAGAACAATATTTAATGCAACATATGAAACATACTTTTCAGGTCACTGCACTTTTATCTCAGATAAAACTATTCTAGGGAATGTTTTTCAAAGGAGCAAAGTTGAACTCTATGTTCCCCTTGCAAAAAAAAAGAGCCACCAGTGCAATTTCAAGAGGATGAAAATCTACAGAAATGAAGTTTGAAAGATGGGACTCAAACTTTTTTTTTTTTTAAGATCTCTAGCATATACAGTGGGATTACTGTAAGCATTTAGCTACAAAATATGAATAAAGTGGGGGCATGAAGAGCTCGCTATGTTCCAAGATTATGGTGTTGCATTCTCAGGAATGTTTCTGTTTGTTTGTTTTTCCCCTGAAAACACACAGTAAGAATCTACAGAAAATGCTCTGAAACAGTATCGTTCAAATCAAAAGAAACTTACTTCAGCATAACATCAGATTCCCTCACAGTTTCTGCCAACTTATCCTTTTGTAAGCCTTGTTCAATGAGCAGTGCATGAGATTTATTGTACCTAGAATATAAACAAAAAAAGTGTCGAAACTGACTTAAGATTCACCTTTCATTAAATCTCACAATGAAAAGCATCCTTGTTAATTCTTGTTCATGCAAGTTAACAGCAAAGCAAAACCAGCTGATGCACAACACTCAAAAAGATTAATTCAGTTAATGCATTAGCTAAAAGCTAATTACTGCCATAAATTTGTTTTTAAAAACTTATTAAATTTAATCTTAGTACAATTTGAAGATGGGAGGTGTCTCTTACCATTCTACCATATATGGATATTTTTCTTCAATAGTGAGAGCTGGATCAATTTCAATAGCGTAATAGGTTTCTTTCAGCTGCAGCAACTGAAGGGAAAGAACCACCAGATGTTTAATGTATTTTTATAAAATAACACTTGATCTAACCAATCAAAATAAATTTCTTCATTCTGATTACATTATTTAGATAAAATGGACTCTGAAGTGCTCTTTGAACAAAGATTTAGCCTGTAAATATGTCTAAGAAGAAGTGAATGCAGTTAAACTGAGCTACATGCTACTATCAAGAATACAAATATTTCCATTCACTTTGGTTAGTGATGGGATGTCGTGCAGCCAGTGAGAAAGCTCAGAGACCATTATGGATTTGAAAGTATTCCTTGTCTTGTTGTGCTGAGTAATTCAACACACAGTACAGCCAAGGAATAAAAACAGTGTTCTGTACAACAAACGAACAGCTAGTAGGTTTTCTGTTTACCTTTTTCCGACAGTCCTCTGTGATGAGCTTAGAGTTATCAATGATGTCTGGGGGGGTGTGGAAAAAAAAGTGTTAAACAAGATAGTGTATTTCTTTTATTTTGCTCTACAACACTGTAAATGGCATAGATGACAATGTTTGATGACATACCACTGTGTTTCCTCAGAACTTTTCTTACCAGCAACTGTGTGTAAAAAGCACATTTTTCTCCATAAGCATGAAGATGTATTACTGTCCTTGCCCTCATGTCTGAATTAAAAGGTCAATTACAAGCTTTATTATCTGTTTCTTGAGATATAACTATTTCTGAAATCATCATGAGGCATCCTATGTGTTTCAGGATTCCAACTTCATTAGTAAATAGATTCTCTTTGTTCTAAGAGGCTACAGGATTAAAAATGTCAAGAATTCTGAGGAGTTTCCTATCTTGTTCTTCCAGGTGTACTATATCTAGCCACTAACATCTTACAGTTAAGAACTTAATGTTTTAATTGTGAATGGCAACTTATCTGATTTTAATTCGCACAGATTGTGATTAAAATATATATACATAAACCCACATATACACAGTTATTAGAATACTTCATAAGGATGTACAGGATAGTTAACAAATCCATATAAAATCTCACACATTAGGGAATAAGTTGGATAGAAAATTAAAATCTAGGAAAAACTTAAAAGAATGAACAAACCAATCTGTATTACAAAAAAAAAAAAAAGTACTCACTATGACAAGTTGGACATCTTTTTCCATTGTAGGAAAATCTACTTAATGTCATATCAAAATCTGTAATAATCTATTTAAGGAAAGAAAAAGCAAAACTGTCTTACAACACGGAGGGACAAAATAAAGAATGGCTAGAAATTCTGAATGATCAACAATAGTTGCAGCTGAGTAGCATAAGTGTCACAGAAATCTCCCTATTTTATTGAGCTATTGTAATGTAAGCCAGAATATTCCATAACTTTTTTTTCCTAACAAACCTGTTTTTCTAATTCCTTTGGTCAGAATATTTCCTGAAATTACTAAACTTATATGTTTAAATCATTTACTTAACTAGTGTCTGGCTGAAATACAGTTGAATCAACAAGGGCTATTAAAAGAGTTAACAGATGTGTAAGTTTTGGAGATTTCTTGAAGGCTGACTTCTGATATATATATATACACACACTCTCTTAAAAATTTTTGGCATAAAGCAACGATCATATGATTGTTTTCATTCTGAACTGGTTAGACCTTCTACTATCTTTACCTGAAGTTTGGCGGCTCCACCTTTGATGAGGCCACAAATAATCTCCTCTACTCTCCCTGGGTCCTTAATATGGACAGTCTTCTTCTGAAATTCTGGCATCTATGAAGAGTAAGAACAAAGACAGAAATATACTTACAGAGGAAAACTTCCTAGGTAATACCTGCTATCCATCAGATTGGAAGCTCTGCATCTATAAAGTTTCACGCGACATCAAGACATGCTCAGGACAGGAAGGCAAGTTAAAAGTAAGAAGAAACAGAAAATGCTCTGTATGTATGAACTGATGACTGCACACAGTTCTGTTTGTTTTCAATATCTGTTTTCATTTCCTTTCCTAATATTAAATTATTCAATAAGCTGACACTCACAGAAAAGATATTTGTATTTGTAGGAAGTAAGGGAGATGATACAAAGAAACAGGACATACGGGATCACCTTGTGGTCCAAGTATGTCACTGGGAGATGGGGAACCTTAAAACTAGCTCTTTGTGTGATTAATATGCCCTTAAAGTTTCAACACAGATAAAGAATACAAGCTGATTTTAGACACCCGTTGTTTTGTTGAGAATGCTGCATGTGTTAACCGAGTACTCCAACAGAACAAGGCTGTATAGCAATTCCTGCTCCCTAGCCAGTCCATCAATCATTTTCCATCCCCTATTTTACTGCACGGTTTTGAAATAACACATGCTATCACACCACATATTCCTTTTGAATGAAAAATAGTTCCTGAATATTATTATAAATGCTGAATTTGGTAAAAAAGAAAAAAAACCCCAACCCCTCCCCAAATAATATCCTCCCCCCCAAGCCTTTGCTTACAAGTTTCTCTTCAACCTTGCAGAAATGGTAAAAGAACTACTTACTGACAGAAATTTCCCAATTTAGTATGTATTTCCTTCCTTTATAATCATGTATGGACTCTTTCAAAAGCAAAGGCATGACACATTTGCAATCTGTCTACATGGGCATTTATGAGTAGTAAATTTTACTTTCTGTATGTAGAATTTCAGAATGATGAAGTGCTAGGAATTACATTTTTCACATTCTGATCATACAGCTTTTCCCATATGTAGCATGTAATTTTTGCTGCAATGAGCTGATTAAAATAATAAAAGAAGAAAGAAAAAAAAAAAAGCAGCTTCTACTTCCAGACACATTTCTGGAACCAGAGTTCTTGTATCACCAATTGTTAATAAGCCAGACAACACTCCTCCTGCTCTTGAAGCTACTAAGCCTTTTGTTTATTAGTAACAACCAACTGGCACTCAAATTGCAATTAGGTAATCATTTAAGAAAAAGATGACATCTTAAAGTCTTGCAAACATGTGTTTTTGTAATGGAAAAGAAACTTGTGTGTCAGAAAAAAAGAAAGGAGGAGGCAGAGGGCTGTAGTCCACTTTGCCCTCAGGTAGGAGCAAACTATTACAGCTACATCATTCTCAGCAGATACTTGTCTAACCCATTCTTCAAAACCTCCACCTATATATTCCTCACTTCCCTCAACCATGTATTTCAGTGCTCAACCATATGTTCAGAAAAGCTTGCTTAATCTCTATTTAACCTTCCTTACTGTAATTTTAGGTCATTCAACTTGGAGGAAAGTATTCTTTTTTCACAGGTGTTCACTGGATATTTTTCCCTTCTTCCTGAACTCAAGAACACCAGTATCTTCGATCTACTTTTGCAGAGCACAATTTCCTAAACTTCTGACAATTCTTGGTGTTGTCCTGGCCCATCCATTTGAACCATATTGTTCTTGAAACACAGCATTTGTAACTGGGGGTTATACCTTTCTGCTCTGAAAAGGCCTCCGCTGAAGGGATACTGTGGAAAATAGAAATCCTCCTAAAACCCTAATCATGAGTCTCTGATAATTTTCCATGGTTTTCCACCCATCCAAAAAGTTTCACCTATACCAGAATATCTAGCAAAAAATTCTTAAGTCATGACAGGGTATTTACTACTTCTTTGCTTTATTAGTCTCATAAAGAAACAAACTGGATTAATTTCACTTAGTTGCTACCCTATGGCAAAGACATTTTCAGTATACAAAGTACTTCCTAAACCAAGATAGCTGTTCTCTGTGTGGTTGCAGTGCCTTGCTACTTTTATTAGCACAGCAAATTCAAAAAAGTATTCGGATTGCCTTCCAACTATCATCAGCTACATCCCAGGCTGGGAATCATTGAGAAAGGTAATGAGTGTTAACAAAAAGTAAAATTCCTGGAAAATATCCATTAAAGAGTTCCCTAATCTTTTGAGAAATACATTTACAAAGCTTTTATAGACATTTATTCATAATTATCAGCAGATCTAGCTTCACGAAATCAAATGTTAACGATCTGCAACTCTTTAAAGGTGTGTTATGGTATTTTTTTTGTGTGTTATACAGTGCTGGTAAACAAAATTAACCTTATCACTTGTTTGGTGGGTATATAGCATTTTTTCTCTATAATAAAAGATAAAGCAATTTGACTCTGTTCTGTAATTTTTCAACTGCAAATTGACTAATCTAATTCCTTTGACTTTCAGGAGGCAAATTATATCTTTATTTTTAGACTTGGAATGCAAAAACTAAACAAAGAGAAATCTAAATGTTTTTGTAAGAAGTAGTTAAAACATTATTTGGTTTTCTTAGATACTAAGCAACAGACTTCCTAATATAACTGATTTAAACAGAACAGATGTTGGGGGAGATGGAGAGATCAGAGGGAGAGACTTGTATGAGGGAGGTTGGATTGCTTGCTACTGTTTTATTTCAGACTGAGGCCTTTTGTAAGTTTCTGAAACAACCTGAGGAAAAACCTCCTTAGTAAACACTTTAGTAGCTGATGTTAAACAAGACCTTGCCTAAGATTTTAAGTATGATGAAAGCTTCCTTCTTTGTCGCAAACCGATACTCCTACTCAAGATCAGTTTTTAAGGTTCATTTATTTCTAATACATCTTTAATTTTTACACAAGAATTGAAGTCAGCTGAACAGTATTTTAATTTAGGGGGAAAAAAGTCTTCTGCGGCGAGTATAACCCCGACAATTTCAGTTGCACAGATACTTTAAAAGGCAAAACCAAGTCTTCGTTATGGATATAGCATCTGATAAAGCCTCAGACAAATATGGTTAGACAAAATAGCCACTGTCCCGATCACTTGTTCCTGGTATTCATATTTGCCGCTGAACACTAAGTAGCAATTCTTTTATTTAGGCTTTATCATTATTATATTAGAAGTAAATGAAACTGTCTAATAAGCAGTCACCAGTTTTCTGGCAAACTGTCTCCTTCAATGTCTTACACTTCTGCCCAGTCTAGCTGTTGTTTTTCTGTTGCATATTTGCCATTCTTCAGAGTTGAAAGAGACAAACACATTCAAGTCGGAAAGAGCTGATAAGACAGATGAAAGAACAAAGAGTGAAAAAATGCTAATGAGAAAAGTTCAGTCAATTTGATAAAACTTTTGTTTCTATTAATTGTTTACAAAAGCTCTAGGAGTTAACTCAGTATACACAAGAGGCCCAAAATTCTGATGCACCAGTTGACGACTGGGAAGAACACATATGGAGAAACAGCCAAACAAAAATCTCCACAGCACCGAACAAAGGCAAGAAAGCTTTTCAGAGCAAGGAGCTTCTACGTACAGAACTAAAGCACAGGAAAAGGAATTCATATTTCATTGTGACATCTGAAAGGACATCATATTGAATCGTTTAAGTGCCTGTATCTATTCTATCATTTTATAAAAGTGTGAGAAGAGTTTTGCTTTCTTACCAAGGACATTTATATGTTACTTAAATAGCTCAGAAGCCAGTATCTCTTTTAAAACAGATGTTAAAAGATGACAACTCCCAAAGGTAATTTGTGGTTGGCATATACACTGGCCACAAATACATTTAAGTTTCTAGTCTCTTGACATTTTTAAGGAGCCTTCAAAGAGAAGCAAAGAGAACAAAACTGAAAAAGGTTATTTTAAAGGTTGAGCTTAATTGGATTGATGAAAAGGAAAAAAAGATCTGCTTGTTTGTGATAGCAGGTAATTGGAATAAGGATGCAGGAAATTCTTTTGTAGCTAACAATGTTATAGTCATACCTTGATGAATGAACAGTAATGGATTCACGCAGGTTTGGAAATCCCCCAGTCCTACAAACCACAGAATGGGTCATTTACAACAAGGATAGTTCTGAAAATTACAAGTCTATATGTAGTACGAGACATGCATCTGTGTAGCTGGGTTAAACAAAGAGGAAAGGTATTTACTGTAAAGACTGCATTGAATTCTAGTTTTGAAATAAAGTTTCTTATATACAATTGAATAGCAGGAGTGCAAACAGAGCTGCTTTTATGTTGTATCTGGATGCTGCTTATATATATTGTTTTCTTAGTATTTGAGACAGCGTATATCTAAGTCAGTTTGATTATAAAACAAGACTTGGTGATAATCACTAAAATGAAAGGCAGGTAGCTAAGTAAATTCACAGCTGCCATAGCAGTCATTTCCAATCAGGTATCCTAGGGAATTAATAACTGATTGTGTGCACAAGGCATAATGTCATATTCTGGAGTTAAAATTATACTGAACTTTTGAATCTACTGAGTGCTGGAGGTAGAGTAGTTACTTCCCTCCCCCTACCCAGTAAAATAACAATGTTAAGTACCTATGATTAAAAAAAAAATAGAAAAAAGAAGTCCAATAAAAAAAGGGAACTTCATATAAATGACGACTGTAAGACCTTCTCTTGTTTTAACTATCTGTAATTTTAAGTTGGGAAGGATGAGCAGATGAATGACTTGCTTGCTTAACTACATGGAGACATGACTCATTTCACAATCAAATCTAGATACACAGCCTGAAATTTGAGTAGTAATAACTAAAAATATAAGAGGTTATTATCATAAATCTGCTAAGTAATGCTTTGACTAAGGACATAAAAAAATGGGGCAAAGTATTTTTATACTGATACCCTGTAAGCCTACACTACTTGGCAAATACAAAGTTATCTTATTTTACAAAGACTAATCTAGTATGAATGCCTTCCAAAAATCACTGCTAAGAAAACACCCTGCATTATGAGTGGATAAAATTTTAAGGGAACTTCTCTGTA